TCGAGATTAATTTATAAAAAAGGAGCTCACTTCAGTTTGTGGTGCGAGTGTGAGGAGCTGGGAGCAAGAGGTGCAAGGAGCCGAGAGGGTGTGGGTGTGCTGCTGGAGAACTGAGGAGCACAAGCATTATCAGACACCAGGAGGAAGGTCCTGTGGTGAGAATAAGGAAGGTGTTTGGAGGAGGCCATGGGGAAGTAGCCCAGGGAGTTGTAGCTGTCATGCAGCTGTTACAGGAAGCACTATAGACAGCTGCAGTCCACAGGGCCCTGGGCTGGAACCCGGAGTAGAGGGTGGGCCTGGGTTCCCCCAAACTCCACAGTCCAGGTCTATTGGGAGTTCTTCCAGAGGGGAAGGTCTCTGGGCTGTTCCCCAACCCACATGGTGAATCTCTGAGGCAAGAAAATCCGCCAATAAGTGCAGGACCCACCAAGATAGAGGAGGAACTTTGTCACATCTGGTACTGAATAATAGTTTTATTTTTTCAAACACAATAAAGGTAGACTGAGCCACTCAGGTCACTGAAGAGGAGTCCAAGTGAATCGGTTTTCCTTTCACATGCAATTTTTAAACCAAACAAAAAGAAAACTATTGAAAAATAAATGAGTCTTTGTTTTTAATTCACAGGCTAACGATGTCCTGTTTTGTGTGCACATGTGACCAGTTTCTGTGACAGCTCAGAAATAGACCCTTTAACAGGTTGGTTTGGTTTGGTTTGTGGTTATTTTGGTACTTACACAATATTCACAGTAGCACAATCCTGTGATTCAAAGGTATACATTATGTAGTTCAGCTTTTTCCAGGTAATTATCTAGGTAGCAACGCTGCTTCTGTTGTTCATTCTGCTAAAGATAAAAATATATTTAGCACTTTAGTTTTTTAATAAACTGTGAAAAAATTGAAAGGGGTTTATATATACAGGGGTTTATTTCATTTCCAACAGGTGTGCAGTGCATTTTGGGGTGCACTTGACCAATGGAAGTCCAGTCTTGCGGAGCTTGTGAACTGAGTGGTGTCAGTTGTGTGCCTTGTTTAGACTCTAGCAGTGGTGGTGAAATGAGGTAAAAGGCAGTGAAATCAGCTATTCTCTGTAATTAAAAGATTAGGAGGATCCTGAGAAAGCGAGCCAGCTAGGTGGGAGAAAGCAAAAAGATAAGAACTCGTTCTGTCCATATGGTGAGGAGGATGGGATGGGGGTGAGAGGGAGAATAGGGAAATAGATGGGATGAGGGTAAGAAAATAATTGTGGAAGTCCCATTGCCCAAATAAGTTAAAGCTGGAGTGTAGAATACATAGGGGACAGTTTTTCCTTACCTGGAGGGTGTTATCATTGTGAGGACACTGTCTCTGTTGTCACTATCATGACTCAACTTACTTCTCAGTGAGTCTTTTCCTCTTTGGAGTGAATGACTTACAGTATCCACTGCGCCCATTGAAACCGGGCACATTTTGCAGAGATGTCTAAATGGACAGGTTTGGGAGAGAGAACCAATTCTAAAAGAGCAGTAGCAGGTACAAGGAGTGCCTATGGGGAAAATAAAATGGACAGCTGGGCAGGATTGTTCCCTCGCCAGCCTGTACTAAAATCTGACTAATTTGAACTCCCACTGATATAAACCATCAAGTTTGGCACTACACTAGTTAAATTACTACTATTTCTACATATGCATATACTGTGGATGTTCATATACTTTTCAACATATTATTTATGTTGCTTGGAGCAAGCAAATGTTGTTTTCCTTTTAGATAACATTACAGCAGTTATATATGTCCTTTGTCAGCATTACTTGTGTAGGAGAGAAAACAGATGGTTTGTTCATACTGAAAAAGGCAAATAGCGGAGACTGCATTCTATCATTTAAGATAATGCCTCCAGGCTTGAGTTACACAGGGATCTCAAAGGAACTGCTTGTAAATTGAAGCATAGCCTTCTATCCAAAAATAAATGCAGTAATGCAAACAAGTTTAAAGGGAAATTGGCCATGATGGTACAAGAGACTAATTATCGTTGTTCTTTGTAGTCCAGTAGTACACAGAGGACCCAATCAGAGCAAGAGCCACATTATATAAAGAATAGAAGATCCTTACCCTTTTTCAATGTTCAGATGTAATTTTGACTAGCAGTATTTAAATGTTATTACCATTTCAAAACAATCCAGTAGTCTATGTGAAATGAGATTGTTGCAATCTCATTACTAATGGACAGGGCTCTTCATCGCCAAACTGACTTCTGGCATTCATTGGTGCCCTTTTTTTGTTAATGTCAGAGAGGCATAGGAATGACTGAGCATGGAGAACCAGCTCCCTTTATAGCTGTAGGAGGTTTCCCCTCTAAAACAAGTTTGAGGCATAGTTATGGGATAGTTGGTGGTGGGGGGACCTGCACTTCCATGGAGGCTGTCATTCTAACACCTTTGACCAGCACTTAAGTTACCTAAAGATAAATACATTTCAGTCTGCCATGTAGCAAAATGTTGGCCAAGGTGAATTTCTTCAACAGCTTTCTGATCTATAAATAGTAAAAGCAAAATAATCCTCATTTCAAACTTGTCCATATAATTTATTGTTTCTTTAAAGTGACATGCATTCAGTTCCTTCAGCTGTGATTTTTGTGTGTCTTTCCCCCTCTCTGTCCAAAGTACTCAGCATGTATTTGGGATTGTGATTTTGGACAAGACATTGAAGAGTCCTTCAAAGTCTATTCCATTCAATTTCTACATGTTCTTTGACAGGACTTAATCAGAACAAAAATAGTATTAAAAATATAGGCATTTATTGGTTGTCTCCTTCATGACGTCATTGTTCCTTCAGCCTTGAAAGGAATAAGGAAGATGCTAGACCTGGTTTAAGAAAAAGGGAGGTGGGGGAGAAAGTTGAAAGTTCTAACTTTGCCCTGTGTGCATGTGGGGTTTGCTTATTTATTTAATTTTGAAATTCAATAGAATTTTTTTATCAGAAAACTTCTGATCCACTCTAGTAGATACCAGTTTTCACTTAGAGAGAAATTAATCTGTGGTACAGCAGGTTATGGCACCTAGCCCTATCTCACCATATAAGCCACGTATAGGATGTTGGTTGGCTGAGTCCTTGTAGAGGGTTGGCCCTGCAACCCCTGTGTGTTCAGGAAGTGGGTCTTTGGCACAGAAAATCACTTCATGGGTGGACTAAGAAGGGGTCATGGATCTGTGTTTACATGGATCCTTTGGCTCCAGAACTTGCCCAGCGAGGAGGAGCTGGGCAATTTAAAGAGTATAGGAGGTTGTGGTATTCCTGGCTATGACTTGGGAATGTGAATTAACCCTCAGTACAGCACTTCATCAGATCCTGAATACCTGGGCTTTGTGAATTTCACCCTTAAAGAAAAGCTCTTTATACACTCTAATATTCTTTATTTATTTATCCATATTCAGTTTTTAACTAATACAATCACTTTTGTTTTCTGGGGTGCATTTATACACTGTACAATTACTATAAGTGGTATAATGTACATTGACACCAAACCCACATTTTATTAAATGCCAAGACAACTCTCATGCAGTGTTAAGCTGAGAACTTAAAGTGAGAGAATAGTGGACTTTTTGTCTCGAAAATATTCATTCGAGTTTGAAAATGAATTTCAGTTAGACCATGTGCATGACCCATTCATATTTGTTTGGCACAGACAGTTATGCTTTACTAGCATTCGCATTTGCGGGAAATGAATTTTGAGCTTAAATATTACCACAATTCAAATTTTGCTTTTATTTTTGATTATAACATTCAAAATAGCAAATTCATGCTGTGTTAGTTAGTTAGTTGGTTGCATAGTCATTTGATTAGGTGACAGAAAAAAATACCCTATGATTTATGTAACTAACTCCCCGCCTTCTGAAGTATGTATATCAAAAATTCAAAATCAGCTTTCATTAAAGGTAAAATCTTGGAACAACTGAAATGAACAGGAGTTTTGCCATTGACTTCAATGGGGACAGACATTTACCTCTAGTAGTCATGTTGGAGGAAATTTGCAATGAAAACTTCATATACATCTAAATATCTACATTTAAGAGTGGTTGCAATTTGCTTACAAATGTTATGTAAACTGACACAAAAGTGAAATTTGCTCAGCTCAGTGAAATGCACAGGAACATCTTTTCCCCAAATCAGTTTTTCAGCAACAGTAAAGGCTCCTATATTTTGATATCATAGAACCTACGAAACTTTTCTCATTGGATTGTTTGCAATGACATTGATAACTTTTCCCCTGTGTGATGGTTTTTTTAATCTGTAGATCTCATTTGAAAGTGCAGAGTACATGTAGCACTCAACTGAATATTTTTGTATGGTCATGTCAATCCTTATGATGTTAACCACTGCTGTATTTTAAGTGTAATACAAGCTCATTTAACTGTACATTGAGCTGCCAAAGTGCAAAATGTCTGCAGCTATAGAAGACTAACTTTCTTTTCATATTATCCTCTTCTTAGCAAATGGCCAAAGACTGCTATTATCATATCTTTTGAGGCATGTGTGTGGTTTTGGTTTTGTTTAGTTTTTTTAAATGATATGAATTTCTAATGCTAAAGGAGGGAGGAAAAAAATGTGTGTGGTAACACAGAAAGCATCACATTTGCTGATTATGTTAATGAGAGAATTTGCTTTTCTGGGAAATTGAAAATCCCTCAAGAAAATTGTATTAGCAGGTAAGAGCTGATTTGCCTCTCTGAAAGGAAAAAAAGATTATTGAGCAGCAGATGTCTTGCATATATGAGGGGGGAAATATAGCACAAGAATGCAAATAACCTTTAACTTAGAATCAAGCTATCTGCTTTTTACAGTAAGTGAATTACTATTTAGTTACTTAAATGACCCAGTTAGTTATCTGGTTTGTGTCTGAGTCATTAAGATTGGACATGCTGAGGGTGATTCTAAATCTTATTAAATTAGTTTCTAATAATACATATCCTAATTATTATATCCCAAATTACAAATTGACAAATTATTTGTTTTCTAATTTAATTCATCTACTGTATTGTAGCTTCATTTCAGTGTATACAACAGAGGCCAAATCCTTATATTGTTTTAATCACCAATGATACTTTCACAGAATCACTAAACCGTAGGAATGGAAGGGACCATGAAATGTCATCTAGTCCAGTCCCTGTGCTAAGGCAGGACCAGTGTCATCCCTAACAGGTGTTCATTTTTTTTTTTAAAGGGCAAGGATTCTGCAACCTCCCTTGGAAGTCTATTCCAGTGCTTATCTACCCTTATAATTAAAAAGCTTTTCCTAATATCTAACCTAAATCTCCCTTGCTGCAGATTACTTCTTGTCCTACCTTCAGAGGACATAGAGAACAATTGATCACCATCCTCTTTAGAACAGCCAGTAACATAGTTGAAGACTATTATCAGGTCCCCCTTCCCGTCCTCTCGTCAAGGCTAAACATGCCTAGGGTTTTTGTTTGTTTGTTTGTTTTTTGGTACCTTTCCTCATAGGTCAAGTTTTCTAATCCTTTTATTATTTTTCTAGTGATCCTCTGGACTCTCTCTAATTTGTCCACATATTTCTTACAGTGTAGCACCCAAAACTGGACACTGAGGCCTCATCAGTGCTAAGTAGAGTGGGACAATTTCCTCCTGGGTCTTACATAGTACACTCCTGTTAATACTCCCCAGAATGACATTAGCCTTTTTTGCAACTGCATCATGTTATTTAT